TCACGAGCCCCTGTCAGACAGGCTTCACGCTGTTTCATTGAATGTACTCTCTTGAAAGTCTCCCAAAGAGTTTCCCTTTGCCAAATGCAATAGCCAGTGTTTAAGCCTTTCATAGTTGATATTATTAGTATTAATTTGGTGCTATTGACTTTTCTTTCTACTTGGAGCCCTTTTGTTCCTTTAGTTCCAAAATACTGCTTTCTTGAGGTTTTCCCCTTCTTCAGTAGCTTCTCTTTCTCAAGTTCCTTTGCTTTCCTTTATGAACCTTCTTATGCTCTAATAATGGAGCATCTCCAGGCTCCATCTTCAGATCAATCTGCTCCAGGATCTACTCTCACTGCATCATCTATCTCAGGACATTATCTATCCTAGTGCAATAAGTACCATCTATCTGCTAAAGATTCTCAACTTACTACTCCAGTTAGACCTTTCTCCTGAGTCCCACAGTCATCCCTCTCACTGCTGGCCTGGAAGCTCCTCTTGAATTCCAAATAAACATCTTAAATCATCTTATCCCCCACAACAATTTGTTTCTTCTCTTATATTATTCCTTCCAGAAAAATGGCATTTCTGACGATCCAGTTATTCTAATTACAAACACAATGGAACACGGTCTACATCTAATCTCACAACAAATCCTTCCAAATGTACTCCAGATTCCACCATGACTCCCTATGGTCAAACCAGAGCTAACCCCTCATCAGCACTGTTCATTCTCAGCTGGTCTCCTTCCTTCCATCTTGACCTTCTCCCATGTATTTTGTTTGTATGTTGTTTGCTTGTTTGCTTCAAAGGCAGCCCCCATCACTCTTCCTTGCTCAAAATTCATTATCCTTAGCATAAATTTCAAAGCTCTTGTACAACCCACAAGGCCTGCATGGGGCTGATCTTGGGTCCACACCCTTCCCCTCTGTGGTTATTCTCCAAACACATCAACCTCCTGGTGTTTCTCAGGCACACAAAAACACTGGTTTCTTGTTAGTGCCTTTGCTCTTGGTTTTCCCCATTACCCACAATGTTCTTCTCCAGTGTAGCTCTCATACTTCCTTCACACTTACGTTCCCTTGTCAGGAAAGCCTTTCTTGACTCAGCTTTTACTTTCCTTTATAATACTTATACCTACTGAGAAATATATTATCTAGTCCCTTTATTTTTTTTCTAGTACAAGGACTTGAATTCAAGGCCTCCTCATTTGTCTAGCTTTCTTGCTAATAGATGCTACCCTACTACTTGAGCCATGCCTCCAACCTGGCTTTTTTGCTAATTAATTGAAGATAAAATCTCTCAGATTTTTCTGCCAAATCTGGCCTTGAACCATGACCCTAGGATTTCAGGCATGGCCTTCCATACTTGTACCTAATGGACTTTAAACCTTAAAGAAAAAGACTATATATTGTCTCCACTGTATCGCCAAAATTGAGAACTATGCTTTCTTTCATTGTAGTACCACAATAGATAGGTTTTGAATGCATTATCTAGTGAATAAACGAATACACGATCCCCTTCTTAGAAGTTTGCTAAGATATTATCTTAGCACATAATGAGGTACTCAGGGGTATCTGTGAGTTTTACCATTATGGTGAATAATGGAACCAGATTGTGATTGTGGTCTATAGAAGCTGATTCCTTTGTGACATCTGCATTTATCAGAATTTCCTTCTATTTCTGTATTTCATATGTTCCTTCTGGCATCTTGTCAATGAAGGAAATTGGAGATAACATATTCCTTTTGAGCTCTCATGTTGGCCTTTATTTGACTGGTGGACATGTCTTCTAATTTTTCCACTTGAGGAAGAAATGATACATTGGTTTCCAATTTTATGGCTAACAAAGTCCTTGGCTCTGGCATCCAGCAAGGCCTAGAAGCCTGATACTGTTTTCAGCTATGTCTTCCAGGGAGAAGAAATTAGGTACCATAGTTAAAGACCACATATCAACTTCAGGAAAACAAAGTTCCCCCACCTAAGAAGTAGATTTCTTTCTCTTATCACACCCTTTTTCACCCTTGTCGACTAGCAGGGAGAATTTCATACCAGGGACTGTCTTCTCTCCTTCCCTCATCCATTCCATAGAGACACTGGCAAAGAAGATCAAACTTTGAGCCTCCGTTTTGATTCACATAATTCAGAGGCCTTAAACAAGTTATTTACACACCCCCTTGCCTTCTACTCTCTGGGGATACAAGAACATCTTACTGGGAGGATTGCGAGAATTAGAATGGGTGAAGTACTTGGCCCAGACTCACACTTCCCTGCTCCCCACTACTCCACACACACATGCACATGCGATCACCCTCTGTCCATGTATAACACGTCACGTTCTCAGAATGCTTTTCACCATATGCTACCTCCATGACCCTGTCAGCAGTGCCCTGGTGCGGAGTTCTTATTCTGATTCAAGGTATGGGTAGCCAGCTCATTGACTTATGTGAACTCAGTGAGGAGCAAAGAGAAAATGCTTATAACTTTTCCATGTGATGGTATTGGCTTTGATAAGCTTCCCTTTCCTCAGTTGCACATCCATGAGAAAATGTTGGCAGATTCTTGAACATTATAGCTACTTAAGTGTATTGAAATATACCTAAAGGAAAACTCTAGTTTGGTCTCCTACTTATGCCTCCTGGCCAGCACCATGCAGTTTGTAGCCTGAAAAATATCAAGTAATTAAGGTCTATTTTACTCCTTTGCTGCTTTCAGGTCCTAATCTTGGTCTGGCTCCATCTCAATGAATTGTTGTTCCATAGCCTCTTCTCCCCTGGTCTTTTCAGAGCTGTAGTGTTCTCTTTAAAATAAAAAGCATACTCCCAAGGACTCATGACTCCTCCTCTAGATCAGTCAGGACAAATGAGTTGATGCCACATAAACTTAAATCAACCCAGGATCCTTCCCCCGCCCCAAACACACCTGCTTTCTTCTTTCACGGCCCTACTTCCTATAGTAGGTTTGAACTATATGGCAGAGGAAAAAAACAAAAAGTCTTATCTGGGCCACTGTGGATGAGGGTTCCATGTAGATTATTGCTGCTGCTTTGACTAGCCTTTTCTGACTGACGATGCCCATTGCAGGCTCTTCAGAGGAATTTTCAGGGCCTGACCACTATGTCTCCATAAAGCAGGTGACTGGCTTCACTCAGCCACACTCAATTTTAAATGGGCAAAGGAGTACCATCCCACCATGTGTCAGGATGATAGTAGAGAATCATTGTGTCAGTTACCTATTGCTGTATACATAAAGTACATGTGCAACTCAATGATCTGAAGCATGCATCACCTCTTTGGTTGGCGAGGGTATGGGATGACAATTGGAGTGGGGCTGAGCTGCACAATTCTTGTCTCAGCCAGACTCCCTTAGGCTTGCAAGATGGCAGAGTGCCTTTGCATCTGGAATCTCCTGGGGTGATGAAAACCATGTGTTTCTTATGATCCTTCAGGCTGCCTTAGGATTGACTGTTTATATCACCAATGGGCCAGTTTCCAAATGGAAGACAGGGCCCTACTCTTAAGAACTAGCTTAGAATTGCTGCTGCTACTTTCTGTCAGCCAAATCTCCAAACCAACAAGATTCATGGAGTAGAAAAAAAATGAATTCCACTTAGGATGGGAGTAGCTACAGAATCACATTGCAAAGTGGCAGGCCTACAAGAAAGTAGATGGGATGTAGTCTGTACATTGTGTTCCCAGCACTGGTGACCACCCTTTCCCCCTGGACCTGTGATGTAACGTTGCCAGTTGAGGTGAAGGTAGAGGCTTGGTGAGGACATACCAAAGTCTTACCAGGGGAGCCCTGGCTACAGGGGATGGAGACTTCTATTGAAATAGAACACTGAGTCTCGTCTTCCTAACTTTGGTCACAGATATTGATTCCAGACTTAAGACTGCCATGGAGATTCAGGAAACCACCTTAAAGATTAGGTGACATATTGTGTCTGACTTCTACCTGGGAAGAGGGAAAACAAGTATGAATGGCTGGTGATGTAAAAAGCACAGTGAATAGGAGAGATTACCAAAGGACCATAGTCACTGGCAGGAACGGAGCAAAACTGATACTCATACAGGCTAACTAGAGGGCCCAGAGTCACCAGTCCCTGAAACTCTTGGCAGGAACCTGTTCTCTAAACCTAAGCAAAGGAGAACTTCTTACAGGATTTTAAACAGGAGGCTCCATGCTCTCATCTGTGTACAGCTTCAATGGGAAGATATGTTTAGAAATGAAAATTGGACTGAAATCCAGACCTCAGAAGCTAATGGTTCTTCAAACTCACAGGTCCCAAAGGCAAAGTGGAAAATGGGCTGATTTGCCACAGCTGAAGACAAGGAACAAGGCCACAGGAAGGACAAAGGAAAACAAAGGGGTCATTGAAACACTGTGCCCTACACACACACACACACACACACACACACGCATGCACGCACGCAACACACACACGCATGCACGCACACTTATCCACGTGCTTCAGACCCAAGCCGACTTGGAACTTCTGGTTTATGTTTCATGGATAATTTAGCCTGACTGATGTTGAGTCATGGAGCTATGTTTTGTGCTCTGTTGTGTGTAGACACAAGTGACTGCCAAGTAGTCCTAAAAGAGAAAAGCCAGCATTATAGGTTGAGTCTTTGAACTCAGGAGTTGATCGTCCATCATTTCCAATTATCCAGACTCAAAAATCAAATGGTGTCAGAGATCCAGAGCCATGCATGGGGTAGTTTGACAGAACACTGGGGGACCATAAGGAAGAAGGGGAGGAGGAGCAAAGGCAGGCTCTGCTTTCTGGAGCCTCTTTCTGTTAACTGGCTTGGGGGGGTAAGCAGGGGTGCTACTGAATTCCATCTCAACTAGGCACTAGTTTCACCCACTAGACAGGGACATAGCAAAAAGTCCTGAGGGCTGAGGCTTCCATGCAAGAGCACAGGACACAGAGCCCAACCTCCCTCCCCAACCCCCACCCCAGCATGAATCTACACAATCAATCGTAAGAGAGACTGTTCTGTCATTGCATTGCAGCTCCAGAAACTAAAACGATCACTTTCTTTCAAGACTAAGAGTTTACGGAGCAAAAGTGCTGACAACTTCTTCCCGAGAACCAACAGTGATGTGAAGCTACAAACAGATGTGCTGGCAGAGGTTAGCCCTGGCCCCAGCCCTCTGCCCACTCCTGGAAGCCTGACATCCACGCCCACCAGAGCGGGTCTGCATTCCGGCAGTGGCAAGGCCCATGCTTTCCAGGAACACATCTTCAAGAAGCCTACCTTCTGTGATGTCTGCAACCACATGATAGTGGGTAAGGCCTCCTGCCCCTTCCTGCAGGTCAGAGCCCTGGAAAGCTGAGTGAGAGCTGTGTGCAATGAGTCCAGGTACCCTCGGTGGACTCTGACCCCAGAAAGCCACGTGCAGGAGGGTTTCTGGAGTGCTCTTGGAAACCATGTTTGTAAAAAGGTAAGGGAGGCAGAGCTGGGCAGGGGAGAAGTTAGGTTGCGGTGTCATTAGGACACACTTGATCTCCCATGAGCTCCAAGGTCCTTTAGTCATTCTGCATGTCGTCTTTATGCATCTGTCTCAGCCTGTCATCACAGAGTGTTGACAAAGAAGACTTTGAATGCTTGTTGCTTCCCAAATTGGCCAAGCATCTGCCATCACTGAGAATGGCTGGATATACCAGGGATGGTCATTATGGCCAGGAAGAAAAAACCTTGACTGATCTCCTTGGCCTAGGTAAGGGGAAGGATATTCAACGTAGGGAGCAGTGTTAGCTGCTATTATAAGTCCTGTCTTTGTTTTCTACTCACTACCATTCACATTCTTTCTTCATCTTTAGAACATTTTTAGAAGCAATATTTGTCCCAGCCAGGGAGTTCTCCTATAGGGTTATTTAACAACTACCTTAAAATTCCAGTGCTAACAACTAGCCATCTTTGACTCTGATTTGGGTGTTTTTAAGATGACAGAGGTCTGATCCAGACTTTGCTTGGTTATTGCATCTTCTCTCATCCTTGTCTCTTGTTCTTTCCTGGAGCCATGGCCTAGCCATGTCATATTCTTCTCCTGACAAGTATAGATAGAAGCATAAAAGAATGTCTTAAAGCCTTGGACTGGAAGTGTCACACTGGACTTTTACTGCATTCCATTAGGTTGTCATTGAAGAAAGGAAAAAAATAAGGACAAAAGAGCAATCCTCCATCAGAAAGGTAGAGAGAAATCCTTGACTCATTTTCCCAATTTCTATGCAAACTATGGGAAATTGAAACCCATGACAAAAAGCATTTCAAACAGTTACACACACACACACACACACACACACACAACCTCACAGAGTAGAAGTAAATTTTAGCACCAATTTTATTTAGAAAAGTGGGGCAAAGCAAGGGAAAAACTTAAAAAAGGAGAGAAAGAAAGAAACGAAGGAAGGAAGGAAGGAAGGAAGGAAGAGAGAGAGAGAGAGAAAAGGACAAGAAAAAAAGGAAGAAAGGAAGGAAATGAAGTAAGGAGGTCAGGTCTGGCTGGCGCTATATTGGCCACATGGTGGATGATAGGGTCTGGCATCTTGTCTTCATGCTGTGGAAAGAAAATCCCTGCCCATCACTTGCCTCCCAGGTGATGGGTGTGCCTGGATCCCTGGAAGCAGGGGTGGGCACTTGGCTGATAGGTTACTGAATCTGTCAGTCCAGTGCCTAGGACCGGGAATTTCAGGTGGATCTGCCCCTTCTAAGGATCTGTTTAGTCTGAGACCAGCCTAGCTGCCATGATGCAATGCCACATGTGTCTCCATAATCATCTCCTGTGTCCTGTCTCCTGGCTCGTCTCCAGTCATCATTGCATACCAATTTAGCTCTCCATTGGAGCTAAGTTGGCTTGTTGGTATTTTTTTGTTATTTCTTTCCTCTTTAGTCTGTTTCCTAGCTGTGTATTTGGAGGCTGCAGGTCTTTGTAACAATGGGTATCCTGCAGCCTGCTAACTGTATAATAAAGACACCAATATTCATGTTCCAAAAATGTGGCTTCTGGGATGATTCACCTGAGAACAGAAGGAAGTAAGGAAGAAAAGAGGAGCACCTCCTGCCTGACATACGCAGAAAGTAGAAGCAGAGAGAGATTCAAAATGGCAGTCCCTGTGCCAGGTGTATTTATGCCTTCAGAGCTAGAGGAATTCCAGCCAGAACCATATGACCAATGGTTACATCACCTGACAACCTTAATCGTTTTGTTTAGTTCATAAATTCAGAAAGTGGGTTTAGCATGGCTCCATTACCAAAAATATGTAAATAATGGGTCAAAGATGGTTCTTATTATTACCAAAATACAGAGAAGGGCATTGGGCAGCCTTGTTATTATTCAAAACATAGAGACATTGAGTATAACATTTTGAGCATTCTGTTTACTCAGCATTTAAAGGGGTACTGATGGAGAAATACTTACTGCTTTACTTCTTGCTTTCTTTAACTCCTGAATCTGCTGTTTGTAATGTCTTTAAGTTATTTGTAATTTCCCTGTCATTTTATTATATCTATCCTGCCTCAATTTTGTGAGCAACTTAATGAGCCAGCCCACAGCCAGGGGTGGAGAAGCCTGTCTCACTCTATAAGGATTAGGGGCTGCCAACCACAAAGAAAAGGACAGACAAGAAGGCAAGAAGGAAGAGGAAGACAGAGTCAGTGATCCAACCAGCATTGGGGAGGGGAGGGACATGAGGGGGAGGCAGCAAGGGGGAGGGGAAGGGGAGAAGCAGGAGGTTCTCTGGATAACTGATTCTCAATGGGTGGTACATTCTATTGGATCTTGAAGCTCCTACCATCCCCCACCCATCATTTCCATCTGGAAATGATGCCAGCATGGTGAAGGAGTCCTGGAGAGGGTCTCAGCCTGTTCCATCCTCAGAATACTAAGGCAATCCCATTGTCTCCAGCGTAGTCTTTTTGAATACCCAGCTTCCGAATCTGATACTACGTCACTTCCAATTTCCACACAAATTGCCATCAGGCTTTTTCAAGGCAGTGCTATTCAGAACCCTTAAAATAGGTGATGAGAAATGTCTATTTTAAATCTCATGTGATGATGTGAAAAGACAAAGGAACCTGTGTTTTTAAGAATAAGTAAAGGAAATGAATTCACCTTGTGGAATGTCACAGCCATTACCCTGAATGGGATTTTAGGTGTACCTCAAGCACAACAGTTTTAGAAGACTCTATTCTGATTATAAAAAAAATCCCTGGGCTAGAGAGAATTGCAGTGTGCTTTTTCTCTTAGGATTAAATTCATAGTTTAACCTGCTTTTTTTATCTTAAAAGCAAAATGTAGTCAACAAATTATGCCACTCTTCTCAAGGATTAAACAAGATAAACCAGATAGCTAGCTCCTTGCAGGAAAGGAAAAAGGGGTGATATAAGGCAGGATAATAAAATAAAGAGAGAAAAGACTGGAGGAAGGAGGTAAGAAAGTTAAAGGAAATGATACTGGGGCTGGTAAAAAACTGCCTGAAACAACATGTAGGCTTTCAATATTGGACCACCCTTAAGAGACTCTCTGTCTCTTTCTTTCCCCTTCAAATCTAACCTCCTGTCTCCAAATTAAAGGTCATTCTCATATTCGGGGTCTTAAAGAATGACCACTTCTCTTGTGACCTCCTAATGACATTTTAGAAAAGAGATTAAAGCTATTGTTTTGTTTTCCTTTTTTAACTGAGAGCTAAAGGTTGTATAACGGCTATAAAACATCAAGTCTCATTTGTGCCCTTTCCAGCTGATGGACGCATCTGTAAAAATAATCACTGTCTAAGATTTCTAAGACATAACAACACCTGCAGCTGGTTTTACAATGGTCCACGTGTGTATCTATGTGGCACATAGATTTTAAAGCTGGAAAGATTACACACTGACCAATAAAGATAGAAGAAGACACCTGGTTCCTTCATTGCCCCATCTGTCTCTAGTTCCTTAACTCCACATTACTAACTTTGCCCTTGCCTGAACTTGATGCAAAAAAGTCCTCCCCTACTGGTGTGGATCTCAGCCTTCTTGGGTTAAACAATACTGAGGCATGCCCTCAGCCTGCTCTAAGCCTGCTCTTAGAGGTATAGGCTACCCCTTCCAAGAAATGTAGTCACCCATGCAAACCAAAGATTGAACCCAACCTTTTCTGGAGATGTGAGAAAAGTAGACATTCACATAGGCCTATCATTAAGTCTTTAGTCTACTTATTAGTGAGGCGGTTGTTTCTTTGAGGATTTGTTTTGGGGGGATTTAATTTTTTGAGTTCTAGTACATTTTAGATATGAGATCCTTGTCCTTTATATGGCTAGTGAAGATCTTCTCCCAATCCATGGGCTTCCTATTGATCTTACTAGCTATGTCCTTTGCCATGCAGAAGCTCTGCAATTTCATGCAATCCCATTTGTCCAAACTTTCTTTGATTTGTTGTGTCTCTGGATCTTTATTAAGAAAATTTTAGCCTGTGCCAAGGAACCTTAGAGTTTCTCCTATTCCTTCCTGTAGTGTTTTCAGGGTATCTGCTTTTACCTCAAAGCCTTTGATCCATTTGAAGTTGATTCTGGTGCAGGGTGATATATAAGGATCTAACCTTAGTTTTCTATAAGTGTTTAACCAATTTTGCTAGCACCATTTACTGGAGATGCTGTCTTTCTTCCATCCTATCTTTTGGCTCCCTTATCAAAGATTAGGTGCTATAGATCTGCAGGTTCATTTCTGGGTTTTCGGTTCTATTCCATTGGATGTCAGGTACCAAGGTGTTTGGATTACTATATCTTTGTAATAGAGTTTGAGGTTTGGTATTGATATTCCTTCAGCACTGTTCTTTCTGCTAAGTATTGTTTTGCTATTCAGGGTTTATTATTCCATATGAATTTTTGGATTGCTTCCTCTATTTCATTAAAGAATGATGTTGGGATATTGATGGGTATCCCATTGAATTTGTAGATAGCCTGTGGCAGCATTGCCATTTCACAGTGTTCATCCTCCCAATCTAGGAGGGTGGGAGGTTTTTCATTAGTTCTGCTTTAATTTCCTTTTTCAGGTTTTTAAATTTTTCATCATAGAGGTCCTTCACTTCTTTTGTTAATTCCTAGTTTTGTTTTGTTTTGTTGTTTTGTTTTGCAGGGACTATTACAAAAGGAGTTGCTTTCCTGATTTCAGCCTCACTCTTCTTGTTATTGACATACAGAAAAGCCATTGCTATTTGAAGGTTAACTTTGTATCTTGCTACTTTGCCAAAGTTTCAGATTAGCCTGAGTAGCTTGGGAGTGGAGTCTATTGGGTTCTTTAAATACAGGAA